ATCGTTTACACTTGGCAAGAGTCTACAGCTGTCACCAAGATGTGAGCCCCCCCCCCTCCCAAGCCGAACAGCTCCTTCTGCGCTCTTTGCATTGAAATACTGCAGAAATAGGGACGAAAAGTCATTCAGTTATCTGATCATGACAATACTGCCAGGAGGACGTTAGGATGTTGAACTTCCTTACCTTCGGTATATCGTCGACCTCGCCCATGAGATAGTCGGTAAGTCTGGCCGTTAGCTTATTGTCACCAGCAGCTGCCACGCATTCGATAGCCAACACGAGTGACTCATGGTTCTCACCACATGCCATAGATACCTCCAGATGCGCTTCGCGTAAAAATTAATTACTTTCAGAGAACTAATTACGTAGCGTCCAGAGAGGCCTTTCTACTTAGTAAACTCACAGCTCGATAGTGTCCTGCACGTAGATAGAACCGTCCAGCGTTATGGGCATCTCCAACTCCAGCGAAATGCTCGGCAAGTTGAGCCATTTGATCTTGGGTAGCGCCGTCAGCCTCCACGGAGTCCGCATACTCCGCCATGTGGTCTGTCGTTTCGGCAAGTTGAAATGCTTCCTGGAACAGAACCTACAACTTTTAGTATTGTTTTTTGAAGCATTATAATGGACCCTTCTACTGGCATGTATGTCATCGGTATTCTTTGTTGGCCCATTACATGATTTTTTTCTGAGGGGTAGTATCCTGGTTGGAGAAGCATCTTGACAGTTTGCTGATTTCTTCACTCTCTTTTTTGGTAAGACCTTTAGTACGCCCTTGTGAATGTGCGATGTGGAACAAACTTTGTAAGGAGAATAGCAAAATGCCCTTTCTCCCAGACCAAGTAGTGCCCAATGATATTCAGAAATCGGGTCTGTTACCCCCAATCTTATTCCACTCTCCTTCATTAAGAAAAGTGCTTGTCAACTTTAGTGGACCTCTCGCGCTACATTTCTACAACAATCACTCATAGTGGCGGACATCCCTAGGGAGATGGAAGCCACTCTTTCATAAACTCTGTTTCTAAAGAAAAGAGCCGTATTCAGATCCCGTAATTATCGGCCTGTGCAGCATTACCTCTTTATTCTGTAGACTGTTTGAAAAGCGTCTCAAGGAGCATGTCATGAAATATACTCTGGGGTGTAATCTAATACCTAACAATCAGCATGGCTTCACCCCGGGACGTTCTGTTGAAACCAACATGATTGAATGCCTTGACGAGTGGACTAAGACTCTTGATAACAATGGGTGTTGTGATGTTATCTATTTTGATTTTGCCAAGGCTTTCGACAGGGTATCGCACGCGAAGCTTATCCATAAGTTGAAAGAATTGAAATTTCATCCTGTTCTTATTACCTGGATTACCAATTTCCTCACTGGTAGATCTTTCCAAGTAAGGGTTGGGAAGTGCTATTCCGACAGTAAAGAAGTTTACAGTGGCGTCCCCCAAGGTGGAGTTCTGTCTCCGGTGCTGTTTAAGTCTCCGGTGCTGTTTAACATCTTCACTGCAGAGATTCCCAGTTTGTTCCAGGGACTTGGCGTTTCGACCAAAATATATGCAGATGATGTGAAGATGCTGATTCTTGGCAACAGTCTGACTGTGAAGATCTTCAGAGAGCCATTACCCGACTTAGTGACTGGGCAAAAACATGGCAGCTTCCTCTCGCCCCGCATAAAACGCTTTGCATGAGAATTTCCTTGGATTCGGGAGCCATTCCTCACCCGTACACCATAGATGGTGTTGCCGTCTCCCCAGTCAACTCTGTTAGGGACCTTGGCTTTCGTTACTCCAACACTTTAGACTTTTCCGAACATATCAAAAACCGATGTAACTTGGCTTTTCTTAGGACGCATCACATTTTCAAGGGTTTGTCCTCAACTAACAAGTCTGTTCTGCTCAAGGCATACAAAACATACGTTCGTCCTTTAGTAGAGACGGGAGCTGCTGTGTTCTTCCCCACTAAGAAACGGGATGTGTTAGCTTTGGAGAAGGTGCAAAATAACTATACTCGCAAAATTCTTTTGCGAACCAGGAGCTTCTTGTATTCGAGGGTTCCCAAAGCTTCCATCAGGAACAAATACTTCGAACTTCCCACCCTCGAAACACGTCGGATGGTAGCGGATGTGTGCATGGTTTATAAGCTTATGTACGGTCTGTAGGGTCACTTCCTCTCAATTTGTTTGAAATCCAGCAATCACGGACCAGATGGGCAAGCTAAAATTCTCTTAGCTTGTCCAAGGACCAGGGTGAGAGCCGCTAGCTTCTCATTCAGAGCCGCGAGCACATATAAGAGGGTCACAAAGAATTTATCCATTCCCAGTACTGTGCGACAGCTTAAGAGGATTGTAGCTTCACGGCTTCTTAGTCACGTAACATCCTAGTTGCTTGAGATTGACTTCAGAATTTCCTAACTTCACCAATAGAAGTCTCGGATCGTTGCCAGCTCGAGTCGCTTCATTTCATTTCACTTTGATTAGTTTGATATCTTCTTGATATACTGAGTGAGCGTATTTTCCTAGTTGATATATCGTTGTCGTTTGTTCCCAGAAAGTTTTTTTCGTGATGTTCTTTGTTTGTTGTTCTCTCACGTTTGCCTTATGCAGCACTCGTAATAAACATTAAACATTAAAAATGGAAGGTGATTTTGACAAAAATATGAGGTTGATTATAGAAAGCTTGAGACATCGAGACAAAGAAGAGTTTCTCCATCAAGGTGTTCATTCCAGGAAGGACACGTCGGAGGGTAGGGGATCCCGGAGGGTGAGGGGTTTGGTCCAGAGAGGCGGGAGTCTTCTTGTATTTGTGGAACTTTTCCCTGCTGTTGATTTTTCTAGGTGTTTCCCGTTTCCTGTGCACTCTATATCCCCCTTTCCTCTCCCACTTCACCCCACCCTCGGGGTAGTTCCTCGATAAAAAAAGGAAGAACTTGAGAAATTCTAGGGGGAAAAAAACTTCGGGGGGGGGGCGACAGCTGAGAAGTTGATGTAATCCAGGGGAAAAACATGGGGAGATTGGATTGGGAGGGCGGGAAGAGGAGAGGGAGGGGTCACAGAATAAGCAAAATTGTGAGAAGGTGTTGGGGGGGATAATTTGCTAAAATACTGCCTTCCCAACAACATGAAGCAGGGCTAGCTAATGTGTCTATTGCCGTGAAAAGTCGCTGAGGTGACGGAGGGTAGGCGGGGGGGTAACAGGCAACTCGGTCGAGTATTAATGATAAAAGGAAATGAGGTCTTCAAAAGGTGATAAGAGAGTCGGTAAACCCTGAACACCACTTGTGAATGTGGGGGGAAAAGCGCAAATGAAGCACAGTACTGATGAATGAATTGAAAAACTTACCTGATGGCAATTACTCAACACTAAGAAACGGATGGCAGATGCGTGATCGCCCAGTTGGGAGAAGAATCTGAAAGTCGCTTGAGGTGGGAAAGTGATATAAAGAAATAACTGAAGGCTGATGGAAAACACTTACTTCGCAACCAGTTTCGCTCCTTCAACACTTCGACTTTCTCGAACGACTTTCACCGCCTCTTCGGCCATGTTCAGATGGTCCAAAAGCATCCGAACCTAGATTGTCGTAATCTCGAGCGTTTCGGTATGCCTGCATATAAGTCTCACTGTATTGCTGAGACTAGACTTCAAAGAGCATGTTGATAACAGCGTGGATGGTTTCGCACCTGCACTGCCTTCAGAATGACGAACCGGAGTTTTGTTCGCTGCGAACGCTGGGGCATCTCAGAAGGCTGGGTTTCACGTAGCCCCAACTTACCCTATACCATTTGCGATTGCCTGACAGCTTCCTCCAGTGGTGGATAACACGCTAGCGCCACGCCAAATCAAGAAGGGATGGGTTTAATGCGGCGCCCCCTCTTTTTTTTAATCGGCTTTCGACAAGACTGTTCCTTCGTATCAGTCGTTTTCACCAGTTTTCGAAGATACTCAGCGACGCTGGAGAATGGGCTGCCGAGGCAACAAACTCAACCTCACTCAACGCCCCTCGTCCGCGGCGAACAAGACTGTTGCAGTTGATTTTAAAGGAGCGCCAATTCACATAAAATCGCACAACTCTATTTTTGTTCCTATCAACTCATGAATTAACAGTGCTTCCAGAAAACATGTCCAAATTGTACATTAGGTTCTGAAAGAAGAGAATGTTCTCACCACGGCCGCTTCCTTGTAGCGCTTCTCGGCCTCCATTATCTTTCCGTACTGTGCATGAATTTTTGGAGATCGAACCTTTGGTAGAAGTTCGCCAACCTTTCCCCTAAAAATTCTGTTTCGGTGAGAATGCGCTGACAGGGTAAGAAACGCGGAAACCTAAATTTGTTCAGTACCCACCAAGCTTTTGCCTTCATGCATACAGCTGCTGCGCGATCATAGAATTGACCAAGCTCGTACAGATCGGCTGCCTCACCGTATTGCTAAAGTTAAGGGCTTCGGAGGAAGATGTGGTTAGATACAGTACATAGAACATCGCAACCAAACGAAACCCTTGTTGTTTTCATTGTAATACCTTGAGTTGTTCAAGTATGATCGCACAATCTCTCTTCACCACTCGTCCATGCAAGTCACGCGCCAGCTGGATACCTCTGAAAAGTCTCTCCTTGGTATTTTCTAAGATATGACATCTGAACAATTATTTAGTCGCTGCGGATGCTGGGGCGTCTCAAGGGGGAAGGGAGTAAGTTTGATGCGACGCCAGTCCGTTTTCCACCAGTTGTGTTCGCCCGCCAGTTTCCTCGAAAGGTGGGAAACGGGTAATG